TGGTGACCCTTTCTGGAAACCAGAGACTAGGTTAACACAATGATTACTCTGTCATCTAAGTTCAGTTTTAGAAGACTAATGCCTCAGACATTTTCAAGAAACTATGACTATTATAAATTGCTTTTTCTTATATTATCAAATATTTTAAGAAATATTTATTCTTCCTTCACCCTGAATGCTGGTACTTTCTTCACATAATGCACAATTCCCCCATCCCGGCAAGCATGTATTCTATTTGGATTATAAATTATTATCAATGGTAATGTCTGCCTTTCAAAATCAGATGTATAGTACTCCAAAACCTCAATTTGTAAAAACAGCACTTTGTAAAGTATTTACATAACAAGATATTTCACTTAAAACATGAATTTTAGGTGCATATGTACAAATTAAGACATGAATATCTAAGATAAGTAGGATGAAATGTGCTTTTCTATGCATGGAATAAAGTGTCAAAATGATAAAGAAAAAATATTTGCATATATAGGTTATTTTTAAAAATCAACAGTCATCTACTTTGCAGACCTCAGTCCTATCTACCATCTCATCAAATTATTTTCCAGAGTTACTCCCCAGTTCCTCCACCATATTGGTAATCACCTGTGAAAATAAAGAAATCATAGTACATTCATAGAGAAAAGAATTATTCTAAATAAAAAGGGAATGAATTGCATCTGTAAAAACAACATAGATAAAACAACAACAACAAAAAAGTTAATCAGAAGAAGTGAGAAACCAAAGCGTAGATAGTGAATGATTCCATTTATATAAAGCTCAACAACTGAGAAAACTGATGAATATTGATCTGAAAAAAAAAAATACAACAGGGGAGGACTCAGGTAGTGGTCAACAAAACATGGAATTGACAGGAAAGGAGCTTGGGGATGCTTGGGTTGCTGGGAGAGTGTGCATCTTAATCTGTATAAAAGTCAGAGGGGGACATGTGTATGTGTGTGTCCATCCACCTGCACATGTCATATTCACTTTAAAAACACTACACACTTTATTGTATTCAGTGATATCTGAGGAGGAATTATGAAGCCAGAGTATCAGAGTCTGTCTCCAAATTTCCCCCATAAGCACTGGAACCTTAAGCAATCTAAGCTCTGAGAACCTCTGATTTCTCATCCATAGAGGATTAATATGAGATTAATTGCTCTACTTCATTAAACCATTAGTGCAGAATCAACACACAGTAGGTCTTCAAGACTTCAGTAAATGGAAATTGATGGTGTTTCTGCTTTTGCTGTCATTGTTCTTATTATTGCTATTATTTCCTTGGATGTGGGTTTTTGTTTTGGTCTTTTGTTTGTTTTTGCCTAGTTCTCTGCATTTAATAATACCTATTCTAGAGAAAAGATTCAAAGACCATGCTTTGGATGAATTATTTGGCAGGCCTGACCTAGAAATGTCATATTAGAATTAATCAATGTTTCAGGATTTTGAATTTTCAAGAAAGCAAGCTATGGAGGGGGAATAAAGTCACTTGCAGGATGTTTGAGCCCTGGAAATTGTTCCTGGAAATACACCTCATAACTCTGAACCGACCATAAAGGAAAGTGCAGCTGCTGGAACCAAAGACTCTCTCTACACAACCAGCCTGGGAGGAAGGTTCCTGCTCAGGAATATAACACTGGGGGAGAAACTGTCCAGTCTTTCCTGTTCGCTGTGATCCACTGGACACTAGTTGTAATCGGATCCCTGATGTGTGTTACCATATAGGGGTCCAGTTTTGGTTATTCTTTGGCATGTTGGATGCTCAGAAGTGCCAGTGGTCATATGTCAGCTGAAATTTATATTATTGAGCCCATGCATGGATGACAGTGAGAAAGTGACTGAGTGAAGTCTATGTGTTGGATCACATTAGTTACTGAGAACTCCCTGCTGTATAATGGCCTTCTGATGGGTATCAGATTGAAAAGCCATTATTTTCAACGATGACACATTTTGAAATGTCCAGTCATAAACTTTTCCAAAACAACTTTGCCTACAATCGTTCAGCTGTGTTTCTTCAAAGTCCTGATACTCTGTCAAAACCTGCAGTCCATGTCATTGAATTACCAATCTCTCCTTGAAAAGTGTCAGTATTAGTCCATCTCTGTTGCCACCACCAGAGGGAATAGGGACTTTGGATTTCCCATCCTCAGAAACTGTAAGCAATAGGTGTTATTTTTCTTTATCAATAATCCAGTTTCAGGTATTTTGTTACAGCAACACAAATGGACTTTTACAGCCATGTTGATGGGTAGCATCTTTTCATAGCAAAGCAGGATGTCACCCATAGGATAGCAGAAGCACAGAAAGCTAGGGAGGGAGGGAGGCAGGAAGGGAGGGAAGGATGGAGGGAGGGGGAGAGAGAGAGACAGAGACAGAGAAAGACAGAGTGAGAGAGAGAGCGCACTTTATGCACTGTCCTTTTGAAGTCTTCATAACCACACCCATGACCACCTCTAGACCATTAAATTATTAATCCATTTACTATGGCATAATCCTCACAATCTAATCACCTTTTCAGGACCTCACCTTTCAGTTACCATGATAGGATTTCCCACTCTCTCAGTACTGTCACAATGGGGCCCAAAACTCAGTGAGATGGGAGGGATATCCAATCCACAGCAGTGACCATCAGATGTAACCCTTGGAGATTCCCCACTGTGATGATTTCCGTTCTTCCAGGGCATCCTTGACTATGACAGTGGAGTGCCATCATCAGTCCAGCATAAATCAGTTGACAAATATTAAGGCCAAAAAATGTCTCCAAATCCAAAAACAGAAGGAAACATGTGGATTAACCTGGACTTGTAGCTTTATTTAGACATAAATGTATTCATATATATGTATAGACAATTACGTATCAAATATATACACACCTATATGTGTAAATGTATATGCAAATTTCCCACAAATTATTTCAATTTACTCTTTTACTCAAACATCATTTAGTTCTAATTTCCTTATAATATGTTTATTAAGGGGTTACTAAACATTCATACAGAGGGCATACATTTTATAAGTTATATTTATCTATACATGTAGGTGTGGAAATACTGTAATGACCAGAATTTGCAAAACAATGATTGGTAACAAACCACTTAAAACTCACTGGTTTATAACACTGAGCATTTATTTTCATTTTCATGGACGTTCATGTTAACAGGGACTGGCTGGTGCAGGTGCGGCTCAGCTGGGGGCCTCTGCAGCAGGCACTGAGCTTATCTCCAGCCTGTGGATTGCATTTCATCTGAGGCCAAGGCTGAAGGACAGTCACTATTCAGGGTACGACATTCTCACAAGAAGTAGCAGGAGTGAACAGAATCCTCAGAGCAGCTGCATAATAAGGCCAATATTTGAACATGCTGTTATATATTTTATCTCTTACAATCTAAAATACATTTTGAAATACAGTTTTAAGTTAATTAGAAAGTAAATATGGGTGTCCCTTTTTTAGCATGAGGCTCGCTAAAAATACATTTTCATTCAGTGCGTCTCAGGTGATTCTGCTGCTTCGCATCTGTAATACGCTCTCTGTGACGCTGATGATGCTGTTGAAATCCAGATGAAGTTTTAATAAGAAGGAAAATAATGATACTTCCATGCTTTGTTGTCTTTGTTTTTATTTTTTCTGAGAAAAATTTTCATTTATTTGTTAAGGACTAGTTGTATATATATTGCAATTTCCTCTCTTTCTATTGCCTCTGTGACATAATGAAGTGTGTGTGCTGTGATTCTACCTTGCCAATGACACTTAGAAGCATATCCACAAGTGTTGTGGGGCCACACCCTAAAGGACAAAATTCTGAGAATTAAGGATATAGTTACCTTACTGATCTGTGTGGCCTTAACTCACTGTCATCATCATCGATTCTGAAAGCACATTTCTCAAACTCCTTTTCCCTCTATAATTTCCTGAACTTGCTCAACGAGGGGCCCTTCCTGACATATGGAAGTCAGAAGAGGAGGATTCATCACTCACCACTGGACATGCAGGCACACACGTGGGCAGGGATGAGGATGGGAGAGGCACCTGGTGAGGGGCTGCAGGCAGCTGAGAGCATCAGCATCCCCACCATTGTGATTCAGTTAGGTCTGAGCAACACATGGTTAGGCAGCCTGTACCTTTACTTGCAGATGTACTCGAGATTCTCAGGGAACACCAGAGAATCCCCTTTACCTAGTGTCTGCTTCCCTAACTATCCTATCACCATGGCATTGAAAAGTTGTGGTATGGCCCAGAAATCCCTCTATTAAAGAAATTCCTACTTGAAATACCAAGAGTAGCTTCTCCTTTGCTGCATGACATCAGACTGAGGCTGCAATCCAGAGTCTTCAGAGGTAGTGACTCTGCCCTTCATTAAGGCATGAGATGGACTGTCATGTCTGTGCTGCTAGGGCTGAGGAGAGGGAAAGAAAATTTTTAGAGGAGCCTCCCTTCCCCTTCTACAAGCATTCTCATGACCTTCAGAGCCTGTCTGCATCTGAGAAATGCTCTCAGCAGATGGAGGCACCAGGAGGAGCAGCTGGGGCAGCCCAGCCTCACACTTCTGCTTTCCTGGGGGTTTATGTATGGGCTTGTAACACTGTGGAAGGGGTATTATAACCTTGTTGACAGTAATAAGTTCCAACATCATCGGCCTCCAGGCTGCTGATGGTGAGAGTGTAGTCTGTCCCAGATCCACTGCCACTGAACCTCGAGGAGACCCCACTTGGTAAACTAGATGCATAATAGATCAGGAGCGTGGGAGCCTTCCCTGGTTTCTGTTGATACCAAGCTAAGTACTTGCTAATGCCTTGACTAGCCTGGCAAGTGATGGTGACCGTGTCTCCTAGAGATGCAGACAGGGAGGATGGAGACTGGGTCATCTGGATGTCACATCTGGCACCTGAGAGTAGAAACATAAAGACAAACATCCATGTAATTAATCATGTTATAAGGGTACCTCCCTGAGGAGCTACTAGTACTGACCTAACAGAACTAGGAAATTCCTAGTGTTCTCCCTCCTTACCTGGGAACCA